AAACCGAACATTCTCCTTCTTCTTCTTCACGCCTACCACCTCCTGTTGATCCGGCGGCAAGGCGACCGTGCGCAAGTAGCGGAGAGGGTCCCGCGTCGCGTACGCGGTCGAAATCTCTTCCGTTTCGATAGCATTTATTTACCTTGCAGTCCCTTCCCTGTTGTTACCGCGCTGCAGGGGCGCCCTAATGTATGTCTGTTTTATTCATGGGTGATATTTTTTTATTTTCGTTCGGCGCATAGACGCCCATTTCGCCCTTCATGGTTAATGCGTCTTTGACGCCCTAATAAGTCACTTTATGGAATCGGCTTGTCACCCTTTTCCCAGCCGAGACGGCTGACTTTTTCACCGGGGGGGGGGGGGGGTGATGTAATAAGAGCCTATGTCCGGCTCACGTGGTGATCATTCGGCGCAAGCTATTAAGGATTGGCTGGAGTGTACCACGTGACCCAGGCGTTAAATAAGGGGAGAGATCAGAGACACGTGGTCAGACACGGAACGAAGATAGAGAGAGGCCACGCACGAGCGGGGCTCCGGGTGCCACGTGGCGGTGCGTCTCTTGTGGGCTGTCTGCCCGCTTCCCGTTGCCTGTCAGCAACGGGGAGTGTTTGTGAACTGAAGAAGTGAAATAAAAGGACCGATTTCACAAGCCGTCTCCAAGAGGTTAATTACACCTGTAAAACGTTGAGTTTTATAAGGGCACCACGGGGTAACCAGCCCCTCCTCACCCAGCCCCACCCCTCCCACCCCCCACCCAGCCCCACCCTCCCCACCCAGCCCCTCCCCACCCTCCCCTCCGCACGCAGCCCCACCCTCCCCGCCACTGGCCCCTCCCCACCCTACCCTCCCAACCAAGCCCCTCCCTCCCTACCCTCCCCTCTCCACCCAGCCCCAGCCACCCCTCCCATATTTGGAATGCACGATGGACAGAATAATCCCCCTTGGGCTGGTGTAACCAGGAGGTTACTACCAGTAATAGAGATACATAGACTCACCACACAGATATGAATAGACTAATCACATATAAACCCATAGACTCTCCACACAGCGACCCATAAACTCATACATAGAGACCCACTGACTCACCACGCAGAGATCCATACACTCATCAGAGACCCATAAATTGAGTCCCATAGACTCACCACACAGAGACCCACAGACTAATTACACAGAGACACCGAGACCCATAAACTCACACATAGAAACCCACAGACTCACCACACAGGGACACAGAGACTCATAAACTCACCACACAGATACGCAAAGGCTCATCCACAGAAACCCATAGACGCACAACAAAGAGACCCCTACACTCATCAGAGACCAATAAATAGAGATACATAGACTCCCCACACAGGGACTCACAGACTCACCGCACAGAAACACAGAGACCCATAGGCTCATACACATAGACCCATAGACTCATACATATAGACCCACAGACTCACCACACAGTGACCCATAGTCTCCTCAAACAGATCCATTTACTCAGATACCCATAATTAGAGATCCATAGACTTACCATACAGGAACCCATAGACGCATCACACAGAGATCGATAGACTCCTCAATCAGAGATGCGTAGACTCACCACACAGATACCCATAGATTCATACATAGAGACCCACTGACTCACCACACAGATACCCATAGGCTCATCACACAGAGACTCATAGACTCCTCAAACAGAAATCCATATACTTACCACACAGAGACCCATAAACTCACCACACAGAGTCCCATAGACGCACCACAAAGAGACCCAAAGACTTATCACACAGAGGTCCATAGACGCACCATACAGAGACCCATACACTCATCAGAGACCCATAAATAAAGATCCATAAACTCACCACACAGAGACCCATAGACAGACTCACCGCACAGAGACACAGAGACACAGAGACCCATAAACTCACACGTAGAGACCCACATACTCACCACATATCGATACATAGTCTCACACGTAGAGACCCACAGACACACCACATAGAGACCCTTAGACTCGTCAGAGACCCATTCATAGAGACCCATACATTCACCACACAAAAACCCACAGACTCACCACACAGAGACCCAGACCCACACAGAGTCTCACCACACAAAGACACAGAGACCCATAAACTCACTTCACAGAGACCCATAGACTCATACACAGAGAACCAAAGACTCACCACACAAAGTCCCATAGACTCACACAAAGAGACCCATATACTCACTGCACAGAGACCTATAGACTCATACATAGAGAACCAGAGACTAACCACTCAAAGACCCATATGCTCCTCACACAGAGATGCATAGACTCTCCACACAGAGACACATAGACTAATACATAGAGACCCATAGACTCACCACACAGAGACCCACAGACTAACCAAACAGAGACACCGAGATCCATAAACTCGCACATAGAGACTCACAGAATGACCACACAGAAACCCAGACTCACACAGAGCCTCACTGACTCACCAGACAGAGACCCACAGACTCCCCACACAGGGACACAGAGACTTATAGACTCACCACACAGAGTCCCACTGTATCACCACACAGAGACGTAAAGGCTCATCCACATAAACCCATAGACGCACCACAAAGAGATCCCTATACTCATCAGAGACCCATAAATAGAGATACATAGACTCCCCACACAGAGACTCACAGACTCACCGCACAGAAACACAGAGACCCATAGGCTCATACATAGAGACCCATAGACTCATACATACAGTGAGGGAAAAAAGTATTTGATCCCCTGCTGATTTTGTACATTTGCCCACTGACAAATAAATGATCAGTCTATAATTTTAATGATAGGTTTATTTGAACAGTGAGAGTCAGAATAACAACAACCAAATCCAGAAAAACGCAGGCAAGGAACGAGAGGTGTGCGCGTCGATCGCGTACTCAAATGCCCTGGTCGGTGGGCGATCTGGCATGGCTCCACTGCCCTCAGGTGCCAGCGGGCACATCCCCTAAACTGCACAGGCCTTGGCGGGGGCCTGTGACGTTGGTGGACATTCGGAACCCACAGAGTGTTCGCGTCCATCATGGAAAACGTCGGTGGTACGTCCATTCGTCGCGACTCAAACCCTACGTTGACCCGCGTGCCGACCCCTCATCTACACTTGTTGACCTGCCGGGGTCTGCTGTGCCGAATATGCCGCTTGCCTCGCCCGTTGATCCCCAGCGGGACTGTGTTGTGCCACCCGCAGATGAACAGGTTTTGAAGGCTAATGAGACCCCCGCCGTCCCTCCTCCAACGGGACCTACCCCGGATACGACCGAAACCGAACATTCTCCTTCTTCTTCTTCACGTCAACCACTTCCTGCAGATCCGGCGGCAAGGCGACCATGCGCAGGAAGCGGAGAGGGTCCCGCGGCGCGTACGCGGTCGAAATCTCTTCCGTTTTGATAGCATTGATTGCCTTGCAGTCCCTTCCCTGTTGTTACTGCGCTACAGGGGCGCCCTAATGTATGTCTGTTGTTCATGGGTGATTTTGTTTTGTTTCAGCGCATAGACGCCCTAATAAGAAACTTTATGGGATTGGTTTGTCACCCTTTTCCCAGCCGAGACGGCTGACTTTCACCGGGGGGGAGTGATGTAATGAGAGCCTATGTCCGTCTCACGTGGTGATTGGCTCTGCCGGTCCTGCCCTACAGCCAATGGGGGGAGAGCCTGGGAGCATGGCCCTGCCGTGTCAGCTAGGATGATATGTTCTGCTGCTCTTGGCCTCAGCCAATGGGAAGACAAGTCAGGGGCGTGGTCCCGGGAGTTGATGGAGGAATCTGGAACATTCAGCGCAGGCTATTAAGGATTGGCTGGAGTGTACCACGTGACCCAGGCATTAAATAAGGGAAGAGCCGAGGGACACGTGGTCAGACAAGGAACGAAGAGAGAGAGGGGCCATGCGCGAGCGGGGCTCCGAGTGCCACGTGGCGGTGCGTCTCTTGCAATCTGTCTGCCCACTTCCCGTTGCCTGCCAGCAACGGGGAGTGCTTGTGAACTGAGAAAAATTAAATTTCACTATAAATCCTTTATATGCGTGGCGGATAGAGTCCTCTCGTCCTCTGGCTTGAGATGGCTGCCACATATGGGTCAGATGATTGCCTGCCACCATTAAGCAATTGGTAATTAAATATAATTTTTTTTTCCTAAAAAGTGTAAAGTTATGGACATTTTTTTTCACGAAAATCAATTGTCACGCACAACGAGTCTGTGCAAAATGTCAGCTCGATTGGATCACGGGAAGTGGGTTAAAAAACGACCGAAAGATTTGCACGGTCGTAAGCGCGGAAGCAAGCAAGCAAGTGAACTTAATATAAAGGATTTAAAAAGTAAATAAAAGGACCGATTCCACAAGCCGTCTCCAGTGTTATTACACATGTAAAACTCACTCCGCATGAACTGGTTTAGCGCTGGTATTTAAATACTGTGTTTATCGTTTTGTGTTCAACTATATTTATGTATGTATAATTTAATGTTTTGTATTTTATTCAATCATTCTTATTCATATTAAATTTAATTGTGTTAATTTAATTGAATAACACTCACGCATCGTTTATTTAATTAGATCTACTTGTATTCAAGTTCATTATTTTAACGCGTTTTTTCTAATTTAAGTAAAAAAAATTTATTTTTTTATTTAATTGAATAATTTAATGTGTGTTTTATTTAATAATTTATAACTTAAATCGTTATTTTGCAATATTTATTCACCTTTATTTTTTTAATCTAATTTGTTTTATTTTATCTCAACATTTTTTTAAAATTTAGACTGTATTTAGCGACTTCTGTTAATATTACATTTAGTTATTTTAAATGTATGTTTAATTTCATTACTTGTTTTATCGAAACTGCGACACTCTGCCACCAACCGCGCGCATGTGCGCGCGTCACGGCTGAAGGGGAAGTGTGAACTTCCCCTTTTTCGGTTTCGTTTTCGCTGTCGAAAGTGGGCAGGGTGCTGGGCTGGGTGCGGAGTGGATGCGCCAACGTCGTTCCAGTTTCTTCCCGTCACATTTTCACGTCAACACTCGAACGCTCCACCACCGCCTTTAGCCCACCTTGTAGCAGCAGCGCAATATCTCGCGACTAGGGGCTCCTGCTGCAACTGCTGCTGTTTGTTGAACTTCTTTCGCACCGTGCATAGCCTACCGTGTTATTCTGAGGTGCTGCTACTGCTGCTGCGATGGAAGGCGGCAGCGGCAGCGAGGTTGACGTGAGAGGCCTCCCAAACCAAGACAAAGCCGTGGAGGTGAAACTCCTCAAATACTTCCAAAGCAAGCGGCTGTCGGGGGGAGGCGAGTGCGAGGAACTCACGCGGCTGCCTGACGGAGGAGTCCGCCTGCGCTTCAAGGAGAGAGAAGGTGACCACTCCATTGTCTCTCACTCGAGCCACGGTGGCACGGAGATGTTAACTCCCTCGCCTGGTATGTAGGAGGTCGTGGGTTCGATCCCGAATCCCTGACGCCACGGTGGCTAGGAGATGTTAACTCCCTCGCCTGGCATACAGGAGGTCGTGGGTTCGACATTGTGAGGACTAATCTGCTTTCATTTTGCACTCAATATCATAATAATAATTGTGTTTCTATAAGTGCAGCGGTAGAAGTTATTCCCCACACTGCACGCAAGCCAAGAGGCATCATCACGGACTAAAGAAAATTAAATGGGATGATGACAGGTGCTTGAGAGTATTGCTGGATAACGCCTACCTCTACGTATATGCCTCCTCGCTCACCGCCAGGGCTGGATGAAGGTTATTTTAGGCTCTATGCACTTCTGTTTCGTGTGGCCTTCAGTGATAACTATACAGTTGGTTCAATCTAGATTTGAAGTTTTCGTGACTGCAGGGATCCATATTCTTTGGTTCTCTCGGTAAAGTCACGTAGGTATAAAAGAAAATAAATTAAATCACTTATACCTAGGTGACTTTACCGAAAGAACCAAAGAGTGTGTCTAAAGTTGGTTAGTGCTGCCCCGTGTTACCACCACCGCCGCTGTCACTCCGCTTGTTTTTCGTTTCGTCCAGCCGCTGGGCAGATGTCGCAACTGCAGACACGATGATGAATAATTATCATTAGTATCTAGTCTGTGTCATCATTCTATGGCAGCGAGCTGTGTGCCGCAGAAAAGCAGATTCCTTGCTCTCTGCGAACATATTTATTCTGAACGATATCTTTGTGAAATGTTTTAATCATACAAACATTTTCTTTTCGTAGGCCCTAGGCACAGTGCCTCCTGTGGCCTTTTGATTAATACGACCCTGGTGAATGGGCGAGTGAGTGAGTAAGTGCTGAGTGAGTGGGTCAGTGAGTGAGTGGGTGAGTGGGTCAGTGAGTGAGTAGGTGCTGAGTGAGTGGGTGGGTCAGTGAGCGAGTTGGTGAGTTAGTGGGTGAGTTAGTGGGTGAGTGGGTGAGTTAGTGGGTGAGTGAATAGGTGCTGAGTGAGTGGGTCAGTGAGTGTGTGAGTGAGTGGGTGATTGGGAGTGAGGGGGAGTGGGTGAGTGAGTGGGTGAGTGAATAAGTGGGTGGGTGAGTGGGTGGGTAAGTGAGTGGGTGGGTGAGTTAGTGGGTGGGTGAGTTAGTGGGTGGGTGAGTTAGTGGGTGGGTGAGTTAGTGGGTGAGTTCGTGGGTGGGTGAGTGAGTAGGCCCGATGCACAGTGCCTACTGTGGGAGTTTGCGGCGTCTCTCTCCCCGTGGTCGCGTGGAATTTTCTCCGGGTTCTTTCCGGTTTTCCCCTCTACATTTTCCCCTCCACGTGTTCTCTCTCGCTCACACTTATAAGGTCCCTGCTAATAGTGTTGTAGTGTATGGTAGTGTTTAGTTGGGTAGTGTGCAGTAGTGTATAGTGTAGTGTATAGTAGTGGCATGTATAGTGGTGTCGTGTATAGTGTAGTGTATAGTATGTAATGTAGTGTATAGTGTAGTATGTATTTATGTTAAACTTATTTGGCACCGTGCGTAGCCAACCGTGGTAATCCTATGGTTGTCTCTATGTGTCTCTGTATATCTTTATGGGTCTCATTGGGTCCGGGCGTCTGTGGGTCTCTGTGTATTTTGAACTCCTTTGGCACCGTACGTAGCCAGCCGTGATGATCGGAGGTGCGGGGAAGGGACAACAAACTAAACAAAAAAAGCAGCTTTAAAGAACTAACTTTTCAAGTAGTATAGTGTATCGTAATGTATTGTGTAGTGTATATTAGTGTATAGGAGTGCATTGTGGTGTCGTGTATCGTCGTATAATGTATAGTAGTGTAGTGTATGCTAGTTTAGCCTATTGTAATGTAGTGTATAGCGTAGTATGTGTAGTGTATAGTATGTAATGTAGTGTGTAGTGTAGTATGTTGAACTTCTTTGGCACCGTGCGTAGCCAACCAAATTAATCCCATAGGTGGCTTTATGGGTCTCAGTATACACTACACTACGATACACTAGACTACGATACGCTACACTAGACACAGCACTACTATACACTACAATAATATACACACTATACACTGCTATAGACTACATTATACACAACACTATTATTCACTACACTAAAATACACGCTATACACTATGCCAACTTGCAAACTAATTTATTTAGAGCTTATTTATTTGTTCAGTTTGTTGTCCTTCCCCAGCACCTCCGAATTGCACGGTTGGCTACGCACGGTGCCAAAGAAGTTCACCATACACGCAATATAATATCCATTGCAGTGCAACAGTAGATATCTATGCCACACCAAACGCAAGTGAACTTAACTATGAAACTATTTTATGTCACTTTTTTTCAGAAGCAGCCTAGGCAACAGCAAAAACGACAGCGCAACGACGCGGCTTATCATCGTTATAGCAGATGCCAACATGATCTAAACGCTTGATTTTGATTTATAAATGCCGAGGGAAAAACCCAGAGGACCCGGAGAAATATTCACGTGACCACGGGGAGAGAGAGAGACGCAGACTCCAAATCTACAGCAGGCGTCAGGGTCGGGACCAAACCCACGACTGCTTGCGTTCCAGGCGAGGGAGTTAACATCTCATAGCCACCATCAGCTCCACGCGACTAATCTCTTTTTTTCATCTCTCTCTCTCTCACTCAATACATTTAAGACCGAAACAGGAAGAGGATTTCTTCCTGTTTCGGTTGGTTGTTTTTTGCTGTTGTAAATACCGGCGACGTATCACACCTCGGATTGTTAAATGTGTGTAGTGGGTTTACTCTCCAACACACAACTAAATGGCTGTGTCGGGTGGTGGCGGGTTTAACAACACATGTATATTCACACGATCTAACCCAGAAAAAAAACCCTCGTGGATAATATTGGTCGCGAAATCCTTCCAGAACTGCTACTACCTCCACCACCACTACTGTGTGTTAAACTGTATAATATAGGTGTTTTTGGTGTTAGATCGCGTAAATATAAATTCGTCGTTAAACCCGCCACCACCATACACAGCCAAGTAGAAAGGTTTATCACGTAAACAGAACATGCCAATTCGTTACTAGGACAGCACATCGGTTGTGTTGGAGAGGAAATCCACAACATCTATAGATTGTACATCAAGATTGTAAATGTTGCGGATTTGCTCTCCAACACACAGGTGTGCTGTACTCGTAACGAATTAGCATGTTCTGTTTACGAGATAAATCTTACGAATTGGCTGTGTCGGGTGGTGGCGGGTTTAACGGCGCATTCATATTTACGCGATCTAACCCAAAAAAAACTATATTATAAATGATATTTGTCTCGAAAGCCTACGTGTTGAACTGGTGTTAAACTCAATGCCCGATTTAATCTAAGTGCACCAGTCGATGCTTTTGCCACACAGTGAGATGCAAAATCTGAGACAGGCATCATCGTGCCTCTTGCTGAATCGGCGAGACGTGCCGAGACTGGCCACAAATCATAGCTCAACGAAGTGGCTCATCGTCGTCGTCGTGTGGAAAACGCGTAGCGGCAAAATGCTCTCAACGCATGATACCGATTCTTCATATGGTGGGGGGGAAAGAATCGGAGGACCCGGATAAAATCCACGCAGTGACTACCACGGGGAGAGAGAGAGACATGCAAGGTCAAAATATACTTCCTGAGTAGCAGGCGAGGAAGATAACATCTCCTAGCCACGAAGGTGATGCATAGGGGGGTGGAAACCGCATCCCAGACAGAGGGCGTCCATTGTCGGCAACGAGCCCATAAACACAATAAGCTAATACAGAGACTCGTAGAGTTACATAGCGACTCATAGAGACTCATAGAGATACATAGAGACTCATAGAGATACGTAGACACTCATAGAGACGCATGGAGACTCATAAAGACTCGTATATACTCATAGAGATAGATATAGATTCATACATACTCATAGAGATTCATAGACACACGTAGCGATACATAGAGATTCATAAAGATTCATGGAGACTCAAAGAAATACATAGGGACTCTACATAGAGATACATAGAGATGCGTAGAGACTCATAGAGATACATAGACGTATAAAGACTCATAGAGACTCCTAGAGGCACATAGAGATACATAGAGATATGTAAAGATACATAGCGACTCATAAAGAAACATAGAGATACGAAGACATAAGCAGAGACTCATAGAGATGTATAGACTCATAGAGAAACATAGAGATACATAGAGACGCATAGAGAAACATAGAGATACATTGAGACTGGATGAAAAGGGGGCTAAGTTTGTTCCCAATCCTGGGCATCTGGCTCTAACACATAAGCAGCTAAACTACACGAGCTCGTGACGCACGTGCCCCGTGGGCTGTTTGTGCGTTTGGAGTTCGTGGGAATGGCAACGTCTTAACAGAGGCGTTCATCCAGCAGTGGATTGACCACGGTACATGGTGCTATTCCGGACGCGCGCAATGCAGCTGCATTCACGAACCTGGCCGATGCCAAATACCCGCCGTTGGCCAAAGGGGAGGTTAACGTAATATTCGATAGATCATTTGTTGCGATGTCGCTGATGTGTGCGTTTGCTGTATTTTACTTATGGATGTGAATGAGTTTATGAATGCGTATGATGCTTGTTCGACTAGTGAGGGGTGGGGTGGGTGGGTTGTATCTAATACCCAAACGATGTTAACTACGATTTAAAGCTTTCGTGACTGCAGGGATTCATCTTCTTGGTTCTTTCGGTAAAGTCACGTAGAAGGGAAGTAATAAAATAATAAAAATAAAACATTATAAAATAATTCTCACGACGTTTCGGCCACAACGCAAGCAGCCGTCCTCAGGTGATGCATATCGACGGATATGTTCTTCACCTGAGGACGGCTGCTTGCGTTGTGGCCGAAACGTCGTGAGAATTATTTTATTATGTTTTATTTTTATTATTTTATTACTTCCCTTCTACGTGACTT